TAACACCTAATGAAAAAGATATTATGAAATAATAGCTAACTTGTAAGCTCGTGTATGATATCATTAAATTTGAAGAATATGAGTTAGTTGACAAAATATAACTTACTTAGATTTTTGCAACCTGATTCATAGCAGCCAAAACATGAAATAGTATATAATCAGATCATTAACCAAAGAAGGAAATCAAAGTTAGATTCAGGAACCCAAAATAAAAGCATATCACTTCTAAAAACATTAGTTTTTTAGTTAATAGTCATAGATGTATCAAAGTACTTTCAAACTTGAACAATTTATTGTATTTACATAATTACGTTATTATACGTTTACATTTCAACCCATCTACGTTTACATTCTATTATTTGTTGCATTCTACCTAATTAATCAAACCAGTCAAATTCAAAGTTTCTTAGACAAAAATTGAGAAATGACAGTATAGAGAGGAAAAGACAAATATGTAATGAATAATCATTAAACAAAGAACAATTCCAATTATAAATTCTAAATAACCTGCATTTTAGGTCCACCATATCGTGAGCAAAACTATCGATAAAGAGGTAAGTAATCCTCCATGCTCATTAGTTGGATGATAAAGACTTCAAGAAATAATTATGGTAATAATAGATCACTACATATTTTAGAATTTGATGAAAGTTTAGAGATTGAATGAATAAAAGAATCATAACAAAATATAATATTAGTACATAAAATGGTAATATGTATTGATTGTGAACATCACAAAGTATATATAAATAGTATTCCAAAACTAATCTTTACAAACGTTGATAGTCCAATTTCAGATTGCACGAATGCTTTTAGGACTCTCAATGATTACAGTCATCACATAGAAATTCGACAAACGGATAAATGGAGAAAAAGAAAGCTGAAGTAATGAAAGTCTTAATGCTATAAAAAATTAGTTCTTATAAATGAATTGTTTTTAGTTACAAGAAAAATACATGCTCTTTTTTAACCATATTCTGTCATAAATAAGTATAATGATATATGTTGTTTCATTAAAAAAAATCAAATTTAAATCACTATCCAGATGAAGAACCAAATAAAAATATATATGAAAATATAAGGTTGTGTTACCTTGATAACAACATAAAAATCCCAGGATGCCATCTTGATACGTTCCACCACTTGTAGATATATCGAACAATTGCAATAAATATCTTTAAGAAAAATAGAAAAGGGTTAAGATGTTAGATATGACTTGAAGAACTATAATTTATAAGAAAAATGTCTCATCAGACACATTGACATACATATAAAACATACATACGTTTTTACTGTATTTTTTCTATAAACATAGATAACCATCAAACAAAAGTTTTATGGATCTTCACACCAAATTTCAAATTTAAGGAGTAAAACAAGCAACACAAACACACATATTGTACTATGTAATAGTCGTTATGAAAAATAACTTCTCATTGACATTTTATCAAACACATAGATTGCAACATCAAATTCAAGTATTCAATGACCAAATCATATACAAGAGGCCTCTCGATATCATTAGAATCAGTCAAATACCACATACACACATAGTAATAGTAATAATAAAAAATCAAAACAGTAAATATAATATAAGAACCACATATTAAAAAGGAACCTGGGTGAAAAGCGATTTGAAGAAACAAAGCAATTGTAGACAGATAGAAACATCGATATCGTGACAATTGGAGGCTTGATATAAATCGTATTTTGTAGGTAAATTTGAATATGGAATCAAATTTCTTCCACAAATATTGGGATTTTACATATCAGTTGAAAAGTAATTTAATTAAAGCAAAAATTCAAATTTTGAAGACCTATAGCTGATTTAACGGGATGTTACTATAAGATAAATGCTTTTGAAAATATACCTCCGAATACGCAGGGATAATTAGAATAGCAACGATTAGGATTTAGGCGTGAAAAAAAATTATAGAAGCACAAGTAAATGACACGTTGAAAATGTTTGGTTTATAAGGGTGACATGTGGCAAACTAAAGAGTCTTTTATTAAAAGATATATATATATATATACATATATATATATATATATAACTTTATATTTATTAGTTTATATCAACGAAATTATTGACGAATGTTATATGTTGAATAAAAGTAAATGATATATATATATATATATATATATATATATATATATATATATATATATATATATATATATATATATATATATATATATACTCACCGAATAAAACAGTACCATTACTGCCACGTGTCACTCCCTTGCGTCCAACTCCTTTCATTTTCCCGCTCAATAGTCTTAACTGGATTTCTCACTTTTCCTTTCCGTTCCAAATATACTGCAAATCCGGACAAATACTTCAAGTTTGAAATTTAAAATTTTAATTATCAATTATACCATATAAATATGCAACAAATTAGGAAGAAAATATGTGCTAAACTTTATCTCAATCCCAAATAATCAGTAACAATCTCAAAAAATAGGCAGAGTCTTCCTAATTTAAATTTAAATATATGTATATACAAAAACAACTACGTTTATCTTTACGTTCCTCTTTCAATACGAATAAATTGAATATTCATCGTCTAGTAAGGGATACTACCTTGTTTTCTTTTAGTTCTTCATATATCGATCTTATACTCATCAATTTTTTTGTTTTTTATTGTTTTTTGTTTTTTGTATTTTTTTGTATTTTTTTTTTTTTTTTTTTATGTGTTTGCAATTTTTTTCCTATATTCAAGGTATACCAATCGCCTTCTTTTTGTGGACTGTATAATCAACCACGTTTAGGTTTGTCACGTATATTCATTCTCTCTTTCTATGGTATATAATTTCGGCTTCTATATGTATTTTACTATTTTACTATTTCCATCGCCTTCATTTCGATTCATAGCAACAATATACTTTAACTGTTATCAATAAGTGCAATAACACTCATTTCCACTACCACATCCAATATTATATATATATATATATATATATATATATATATATATATATATATATATATATTATCGGTAAGTGCAATAACACTCATTTTTTTAAAAAGTGATCCCCACTACCACATCCAATATTATATATATATATATATATGTATATATATATATATATATATATATATATATATATTCTAATAAATGAATAATTTTACTCTCCTTTTGATACGTATCATCCTATTAGGACTCGTAATTAATTAATATTTTATTCTCATTTTGCCATATATCACCTTATTATGTCTATTAATTAATGCATGCCACTTGTCAACCTATTAATTATCCATTTCAAATTTTAAATTTCCCACTCTAATTACATTAAATTAATAACATTAGAATAAAAATAAAACTAAAATTAATACAAATTATAAAGTGATATAATTTCACATATTTATTTAAATCAATGATTAAAGTTTATATAACTAAAAAATCTCTTGATTAATAATTTATTTAAAATAAATTATTAATAATTTTGAGTTTTATTATAAAAAGTTTCATTAATTTTGTAATTGTGGTTCTTACGGATTATAAACTAGTATATATATATATATATATATATATATATATATATATATATATATATATATATATATATATATATATATATATATTAAATAATTATATTAACACAAATAACTTAAATTTAACAATATATATATATATATATATATATATATATATATATATATATATATATATATATATATATATATATATTCAAATGGGCTTTAAATTCTTAATTTTTTTTTTGCATCAATTAGTTTATATATAAAAACAAATAGATGGATTAGTGCAAAATATATATATATATATATATATATATATATATATATATATATATATATATATATATATATATTAATATTATAATCATAAATAGGCTTAGACAACAATTTGTAAGGCTTTCAACTGTGAGTGATATGTCATGATTTTAAACACACATGGCATTTCAAAAGTCATTTGCAAGTGGCATGCATGCTCTTAAATTTTTAAAATTTTTCTCTAAGAGCATCTCCATCTCACTCATTCTCTAATGTTTCTTCCATTTTCTCTTCCATTTTTCTCCAACTCTCCCTCATTTATTCCCCCATTTTGAGGGATATGAATAGTATTACAGCAAATATGGTGGTATACTATTCATTTCTCCCAAAATGGAGATGAAGTTTGCATTGTCAGTTTTAGTCACTGTTTTTTATATATTTATACATTTCTAGTTCGTTTTTACCTACTAATTATAATTTAAATATAATATTTTATAATTATAATATTTTGTTATATATTATGATAATATGATAATCAAGGATGAACGTGATCTTGACGCACCAATTGAAGTTGCAAGAGAAGTGTCACCGATAAAGGTTGAATTGACGACAGACGAAGACAATCAATTCCAACAATTATTTGCTCGATATAAACGTATTAAAGATAAAGAAGCACTGTTCAGTATACGAAATGCATTAGTTAATTATTGAGAGAATTACAAAAATCGTCCCTGTGGTTATATACTTATTTTGAATAAGGTCCCGACTTTTCAATTTGAACGCAGCTCATCCTTAAACTATTTTCTTGTTGCGCATATGGTCCCGTGTCCCAACGACGTTTGCTATAGTCGTTAAGTTATTCCATGTGCCAAGCACATGATGGACAATTTGGTCTTTTAACATGTGTTTCCTACTGCCGCCTATAATTAAAATCGTGATGATTATTGCATCGATCCTCCCTATATTTAAAACCCCATTTCATATACCAAGACTAATACGTATTTGTAGTCCAAAGCGTCTTCCTTCCTCCCTGAAAATTCTCTCATTGAAAGCCCTAACTGCTATTTGTCGACTGTTGATCGACCAAGTTTAGGATGTCGTTGACGATGTGGAATGTGCGTTTTAGTAACGAGCATGAAGACGTCGATGTTATTTACGGTATGTTCCTCTGTTTCTCTAATTTTACAAAATTATAGGTATTCTTCTTCATAACATATTCTGGGGATCAAAGCTCATAGTATTTTTTACAGCTTCACACCCAACTATGTTTTCTTTGAAAATATATCATGGTGGTGAATTCTCAAAGTTTCCTGGAAGACAATATGTGAACGGAAGACATTCGTACATTGATTTCTTAGATGCAGACGAGTTCTCAGTTCATGAGTTAGACTCCATGATGTTACAGTTAGGGTATGATGGTAATAGGAAAATGTATTACCATTTTAAGAAGCCTGATAGTGATCTTGATGTTGGGTTAATGGCTTTAGGTAGTGACGGTGATGTATGCAAACTAATAAGCTATGTCCCAAAACATAGATTGCTAGAGGTATACATTGAACTAGATAAGACAACGGTTTGCACTTACTTCCAGTCACCAGGAGGTTCTAATGTTATTATTCAGGAATTGAAGATGATGGTACCCCTGATTATACCAGAGTACGATCACGAGGTTCTAGTTCTACAAAGTCGTCCTGTGGAAAAAGGCTTGAATTAGATTGGTTTCCCAATCATGATTTTAACATTGGTAATGATTTTGATAAAACAATATCCAGTGAACACGCTCTCCCAACCAATGTTGACCATTCAATGTCACAAGGTATTGACTCAATTCATGAGGAACCAGACGGTGAAGATGGTTTTGAAATAAGTGAAGATGAAGATAATGGAAGTGAAGACGATGACTTCTATGTCGATGAGGAGGACGTATTGCATGATGTGGAAGTTGACATGAATGATTTCTATGTGAATACTGATAAAGATTTGGAATGGATTGAGCCAAAATCCAACTTGAAGGATGTTACAGATGAAGATAATGAGAAAATAGAGATATTGGATAATGAAGATTTTGATTCCATTTCTGAAGGTGAAGAGGGTATAGATAGAATTAGGAAAAGCAAGTTAAGGGCGCTAAGGAAAAAAAACAAGGAGATTGAGGCTATTGGTTCAAAAGGGACACACTTTTCTGTAGGGCAAGCTTTTTACACATCTAAAGAAGTCAAAAAAGCCATTAACAATTATGCCGTAGAGAGAAGGAGAGAAATTTCATTGGATAAAAATGACAAAAACAGAGTGAAGGCTGTATGTAATGGTACCATCCCAAATTTGTCATTTTCTACTAGTAGTGATCCAAGCAAAGGTACTACAGTCAAGGGTAAAGGGGTAAAATCAATGTCAAGGTCTTGTCCTTGGGTACTTTACGTTTCTAAATGGCGAGAGGAAGATGATTGGGTTGTCAAAACTTTTAATGACAACCATACTTGCCTCCAATCAAGAAAAATTAAAGCTTGCACAGCAACATATCTTTCAAATAAGATAGTTAATCAAATCGAGAGTAACCCCACCATACCTCTGAAGGCTCTTCAGGAAGATTTGGAAAGGAAGTATGAGATAGGAGTATCACGGATGAAGGTTTTCAGAGCAAAAACGAAAGCATACAATCAAGTTATGGGTGATTACAAGATACAATATGAGTTATTAAGAGACTATGTCCTTGAATTGCAATCTATGAATGAAGACACGACTGTGAAGATTGACATTAAAGAAGAACCGAATTTGTCAAACATGGAGACTAGAGTGTTCAGGAGGATTTACGTATGTATTGGAAGTTTGAAGAAGGGGTTTAAGGCAGGAAAAAGAGACTTGTTGGGTCTAGATGGGTGCTTCATGAAGGGGCCTTACCCTGGCCAAATATTAACTGCAGTGGTATTGATTATTGCCTTTAATTTCATTGTTTTACATTTGTATTTGTTTTCACCTATTTTCTTGAAATTTGGTTTTATTGTTACAATTTTCTTTTTGTAGGGTGTTGACCCTAATAATGGAATATATCCTGTGGCCTATGGCATAGTAGAGGCTGAAAATTTAAAGTCTTGGACATGGTTCTTGTCTTGCTTAGGTGATGACCTAGATTTGCTAAGAAACTCAAATTTCACATTTGTGTCTGATAGGCAAAAGGTACCAACTTATTTCTAAATAGTTTTTTTAGTTAGAAGAATTAATCATATTAAATTATCTAAAATTTTGGTTGTTTGTTAGGGAGTAATCCCAGCAATTGCAAATCTATTCCCGTGTGCGGAACACAGATACTGCTTACGACATATACATGAGAATATGAGGGTAAATTGGAAAGCAAATGTCTTCAAGGATCTACTATGGAAGTGTGCTAGAGCTTATACAGTTCCACATTTTAATAATGTTATGGAAGAAATTAAAAGTTTGGATAAGGATGCGTACGAATGGTTGAAAGGAATTCCTCCCCAACACTGGGCTAGATCACATTTCTCAGGTATGAATAGTTTGGAAATTTAAATTGTTATTGGTTGAGTCTATAAATTTCTAACATAGTCTTACTTTATCAGGAAGGGCAAAATGTGATGTCCTACTAAACAATATGTGTGAGAGCCTTAACAACCAATTAGTTAAAGGGAGAGACAAACCCATAATCACTGCTCTAGAATTTATCCGAGAATACTTAATGAAGAGGATTTCAATTGTCCAAAAGGAAATACAAAAGTGCAATGGACCATTAACTCCATATGGGACAAAACTGATGGATGCCAACAAAACAGAGGCTGCTAAGTGCATTGTGGCTTTCAATGGTAGTCAAAAATACCAAGTGACAGGTCATTTGTGTGAGCAATTTGTAGTTGATATGAAAGAGAGGTCTTGTACATGTAGAAGGTGGGAAGTGACTGGGATGCCTTGTAAACATGCTATTGCCACAATTTGGGATATGGGGAAGAACAATGAGGGTGATGGGAAACCTGAAAATTACACAAATCCTGTTTATTGGCTAGATACTTGGAAGAAGATGTACCATTTCAAAATAAATCCAATAAATGGAAGGAATATGTGGCCCAAGTCACTATGTCCAACAGTCTTGATCCCACCTCATCATCACAAACAAATTGGAAGGCCAAAAAAGAAAAGAAAGAAAGGGGTCAATGAAGGTGTCAGGATCACAGATGGTGAAGATATGGTGAAGTTTGGAAAGTTATCAAGACAAGGAAAGTCAGTCAAGTGCTCAAAGTGTAACACCATCGGGCATAACTCAAGGACTTGTAAGGGTAAACCAGCATCAGTAGTTGGTGGTAGTAAGAAGGTAAAAAAATCTGGCGGTGAAAAGAAGGCAGCAGGTGTAGACAAACCTTGATGTATTGATGGTTCTACTAGTTGTTTAATGTTGATGTGTTTGTTTCTTTTATGATGATGTGTTTGTTTCTTTTTGCTTACTGGCAATATGCCTAAACACTTTCCTTTATGGTTTAGTTCATGTTTTGATTTCTAGTACCTATGGTTGGTTGTGGTTTTTGTTTTGTCTTAATGTTAGTATGTTTAAACAATGGATGATTTGGTTTATAAATGATTTTGGTATGATTTTGCTTTAATGTTATGGTTTATGAAATTTTAGATTTGTTGGTAATGGATTCTTTAGTTTTGTAAATGTGATTTTGGTTTGGTTTAAAAGAAGTTGTGCAATGTCAAAAGAAACATACAGTATGTCTCAATACAATTGGATTTTGGAATAAGCATAAACAACACTTTTTCCATTACAATCTAACAAAAGAGATGCTTTTCCCATTACAAATTTTAAAAAGATGACACTTTTTTCATTACAGATCATTACAAACTAATATAATACTTTGCCATTACAAAACAAAATTAATGACCAGTCTAACATAATACCTTCCATGGTCATTTTAAGACAACAAAAAAGTTTGACATTTTTAGGTCACTTATAAATGTAGAAGCAGACTAAAAATAAAATCCAACTGAAAATGAGGCATTGCTTCAGCTTACGAACGTCATCTTTCAGCTTTTGCACAGAAAATCGAAGCACATTCATGGATCGCAGCAGCCCAGGTATTACATTTGTCGCCCTTGCGCACATTGGGGGGTCCACCCAGCTAATGAACGGACATGTTGACCCTGGTAGTGGACATCCATAGAACCTGCGACCGGGATTGAGAGATGTCCAGGATGTTTTGATTATCGCAACCCTTCCACAAAGGTAGATAGCCATGGCGAGAATGGGGGGAAGAAAAGCTAGAACAACGAACAGCTTTGAAGAGAGAATGAAGAGTCGTGTTTACCTAATTGAAGGATGCACATGTTAAAAGACCAAATTGCCCATCATGTGCTTGGCACATGGAATAACTTAACGACTATAGCAAACGTCGTTGGGACACAGGACCATATGCGCAACAAGAAAATAGTTTAAGGATGAGCTGCGTTCAAATTGAAAAGTCGGGACCTGATTCAAAATAAGTATATAACCACAGGGACGATTTTTGCAATTCTCTCTTAATTATTTGTGGGAAATTGATTTCAACGCATAAATATGTTATCTATGCATGTATAATATTTATTTAAAAATGTGTATGTTTAATATTTATATGAATGTGTGTATAATATTTATTTAAAAGTGTGTACATGTAATACTTTTAATATTAATGTAATGAAAAAAATATAGATTATATATTTGTTAATATTAAATTAGTAGAAGGTGTGTTTGACAATGTATGTAAGTTTGAATAATAAAATATACTTGGAATATACTTTTTGGAGTTAAAAATGTGGGAAAAAATGAAGTATGGTTGGAGATAAAGCACTATTTACTTTATTTTTTACTACATTTTTAAGGAAAAAAATAAAAATAAGTTGAAGATATCTAATTAAACATTTTTCCAAGGGAGTTGGTAAATTGTTATTCTATAGTTAGTTTACGAGGTTTGTGACGTTTTCTATATGACTAGTATCACCTCGTTTCAAAATAATAGAAGCTATATGTTGATGTAACAATTCGACGGATCTGAATCCACAAAATAAAATAATCAATAAAAAAAAAGTCAAACTCATGAACTAACGTATTAATTTTTTAACATGCTTCATCTCAATTATTGGTCAAAAGAAATAAATAATAAAATAATATAAATCATATTCCAAATGTACTTAAAAAAAAAAAAAAAAAAAAAAAAAAAAAAAAAACAAAAACTTTCACGTGCTCTGGCTAATGGCTATCTAACACCACTCCTTATCCATGGTTATTTTAATAACACCCTTTTCCAAAAGTCTGAACATCTTAGAATCCGTTTCATCCCAACACATAATGGAGGCCTTCCTTAAGGATTTTCAGTATCTTGAAATCGGACTTGAAGAGATAAAGTCGGCCACCAACACCTTTGATAAAAGCAAACTTATCGGAGAAGGTGGATTCGGGAAAGTATACGAAGGAGTAGTCAGTCACTCGAAAGGGAAAAGCAAGGTTGCTTTCAAGCGTTTGGATAGTACTTGTGGCCAAGGAGACCCTGAGTTCTTGAAAGAGATCTTAATGCTTTCTCGTTACACACATGAAAATCTCATCTCTCTCCTGGGATTTTGTAACCAGGGTGGTGAGAGGATCCTTGTGTACGAGTATGCATGTCATGGAAGTCTTGATCGCCATATAAGAAGCGTTGCTCTCACATGGAGACAACGTCTCATGATATGCGTTGACGCTGCAACCGGACTTTGCTACCTTCATGATCCCAAGGAGACACACGAAAGAGTTATCCACCGTGATATAAAAAGCTCCAACATTCTACTCGATGAGAGTTGGAATGCCAAAGTTTCTGACATGGGACTTGCGAAAATAGGACCCGCTAATCAAAATCAGACCTTTCTTGTCTCCAATGTTGCAGGTACCTTGGCATACGTAGATCCGATATATATGGAGACGAGCATCTTAACAAAAGAGTCGGATGTTTACTCTTTTGGGGTTGTCTTGCTAGAAGTATTGTGTGGGACACTATGCTTTGAATATAGCAATAATGGTACTCGTAAGGGGTTAGTTAGAACGTGGAAAAAGAGCTACAAAGTAAAAGACTTTGAAAAGATTATCTTTAAAGACATGAAACAACAGATGGATCCGAGGTCATTGGAAACATATTCATCTATTGCTTATGAATGTTTGAAGAAATCTCGTGAAAAACGGCCAGAGATGTATCGGGTTGTGGAAGAACTTAATGTTGCGCTTCGGTTTCAAGAGAATTTTGAAGAGGTCGAACCAGAAATGAACTATGAAGAGGTGCGTAAGTCAGCAAGGTTTAAAAAAACAAAAGAGATGTGTAAGTCCGCAGTCCCTTCTCTGGCAAACAGATCCGACGAGGAACTAAAGATCCTTCTTGCTGAAGGAATTTTTCTTAACCATGGCAAAACGGTAATTATATATACTGTTAGTTTAGACGTTTTAATTTATTTTATGAATGGTAAATTATGATTTATTGGAATGTTTATTGCATAATTATAACTTGAAAAACCAAGTAAATCTCTACTCTCCTAAATCTAACTTAATCGGCCTAACATCAACTGTTTTACTTTTAATGGACAGTGGTTTTGTTTAAATAAGAATGGAGAACATTGTGAAATGATATCCGCACAAGAGTGTTTCTATCCTATTATCCTTAAACCTCGAGTTACTGGATTTTATGCCAAGGAAAAAACAAGGTAAGTTAGTCCTCGTCTTTTTATTATATTGGGTCCATATATATATATATATATATATATATATATATATATATATATATATATATATATATATATATAGAGAGAGAGAGAGAGAGAGAGAGAGAGAAAAGTTATTTTGAGAAGCAAAAATATTATGAAAACTTAAAAACTTTTAACATGTACATCACTTTTCAACACGAAAATCACTAATAGGCCATGTGTCCGTTCAATAAAAAAGATTTTGAGGATTTTTTTTTAAATATTCATATTTACGCACTGTTGGTACGTGCATTCATATATGCGTCTGCAGCCCATATGACTACTAATGCTTGCATGTATATCTGTCTCCATAGTTCATATGACTGCTGATTCATATATATACATTGATGCATACCTGTATTCGTAGTCCATATGATTGTTGATGCCTAGTTTTTAACTACTAATGGATTTGTTCAAAACTTGTAATGTTTTTTTAGTTCATACAATAATTTAGCCATATATATATATATATATATATATATATATATATATATATATATATATATATATATATATATATATATATATATATATATATATATATATATATATATTGATGTTTGCATCTTTGTGCAGATTTGAAAAGTACATGAATACAAAGATTTGTTCTGATTTCAAAATACGTGTCAGAACACAGTATTTGTCACCACAGGTCACATATGCAATAAACCTTGTGTTCTGTTTGTATGATTCTGATTCTACCAATTCACATCTCAATTACATTTTGGCTGGGGAAACAGAATCTTCAAGTTTGTACTTAGCAGATACGAGAGTAGACGGATGGTTGACAGCTGAATTGTATCAGTTTACTAGCGACAATAGAAATGTTGATCTTGAAATTACGTTTAAATGTTGGAATGAGTTGTTAGTAGAAGGGATTGAATTTCAGCCCGTGGAGATAGTAAGCCAACAAATTCTGGAACATCAAGTATTAGAGGATAAGAGGGAGGTAGATATGCTGGAGGACATGTCTCATTTAGATGCATATTGGAATGAAAAATTACCAAGTGATTATGAAAACATAATTAAGTTGTCTAAAGATATGTTGCATTGGAAAACAAAGAAGGAACTATATTCTATTCTTTACAAAGGGTTCCCTATCCAGATCGAAGGCGAAGAGGTAGATTTGTTATACCGGATTAATTCACTCCTATCATTTGTGAGACGTTCTTAAATATCACTTGTTTTTAAAATATAGCCGTTGTGCATGATTCTAGTATATCCGGAGCCACTGATCATGGTTTTAGGGTTCAAAGTTGAAAAGTCCAGAATACCCAAACAAATACTTACATAGATATTGTTAATTTTGACAGTGGTTTTCACTTGACAAAGACGGGAAGCAATGTGTTATGATACCAGCAACAGTGGCTTTGAAAAGAAAAAAGTGGAGTTGGCGCTCTTTACCCGAATCAAGGTTCTTTCGAATTATGTTGTAACAAAGTCTATGTTTTGCATATATATTGCTCATATGTGTTGTTAACATGCAAACTAGGGTCTTGAAGTGAGTTAGGATTCAACTAATTTAAAAATTATAGGTTGGATATTCTAGTCACTCTACAATATAGATCTTCTAGTACCCATTGTGTTTCTCCATTATCAAGAAAACAAAAATCACCACTTATGATTATGTTGTCTTGTTCTTTTAGCATTTCTATTAAACACCGTGTCTTTTTGCAGATTTGAAGAAGTCGCTTTTGATCCTACTTGGAGCTTTACTATACGCTGTAATACCTCCAATATGCTATCAGCTCAAACATGTTATGGAGCTTACCTTGTTTACAAATTACAAGAAAACCATTCTGGATTTGAGCGTCCTTTAAAGGTGATGATGACTAGTCATTTCTCTGATACATTAATAATCTCACGATATATCTATTTGACTAGTCCTCAAACCCCAGTCATCAGACGAAGGGCTTATGAAAATACCCACAACCCATTGAATAGATCCAAAATAAAAGGCCTTCCACAACAAAGGACAGATAGTTGGATGGAGGTACAAATAGATGAACAACTTACACAAACTCCCTCGAGTTTTGTAAGACTTTCAGTCAACTTTCCCCTTAACCAGTCGCTTAAAGGGCTTATTGTGCAAGGTATTGAGTTCAGACCATGTAATTAGACACGATATTGTAAAAGGCTCTCTTATTTAATTATGACTGGTTGCGGATAAAAATATTTGTTTATAATTTACTTTCTAATTCTTTCTTCTTAATTTCTAATACGTGTCATAAATTTACCTTTAACCAATAAGGAAAGAGTTTGGTAAACCTAATCCCACTTAATTAGCCCCATTTTTTAATTCATTAATGTGATTCATATTAACTTTAAGAAGAAATCACACTATATGATCTGAATCGTGAATCGTTGCCAACATGCTATCAACTCGCTACTTTCAAGGAATTATAGACATATACTCAGAAATAATCACTCAATAATCGGTGTATTCATGAACAAAATGAAACTCAAATGCTTTACTAGAATTTCAATAGTGTAACTCTCTTCAAAATGCTTTCCCAGTTCATAAAAGATTATCCGATCTCTTTCCCACTACTCTTTTATATTATTATGTCATGAAAAACTATATATATAATGTAAAATGGCTAAAATGCCCTTCCACTCAAAGATGACCTTTATTAGTTGAATTCTCCTTTCAGCCCCTTCTAGAATACTTGGTGGAATGGATATGTAGCACAACATACTAAAGCGATAGCATGTTTATTATTGTCAAATTTATACCAAAAGCATCATGCGCCACAAAAAAATAAAAGAATAATAAATAACTTTTAGCAATGACACATGGTGTCACAATGCTTCTATAAATTGTCGCTAATACCTTTAGCGACAACATGTTGATGCAAAAAAGTCGCCATTATTACTTCGTACCAATAATAATATTTTGTTGTTGTTAGCGTTGTCGAGAAGTTTCTCAAATGTAAAACACTGGTTTGGCATGCGTAGCAAATAGGAGTTGATATCCATTGACCAATTTGCATTTTGGGTAGATTCTTGTGAAATTATTATCAAAATATAACTCCTTAAGTATTGAACCACTTGCAATTAAAAAGTACAGTAGACTAACTATGAGGATAATGCAATTTGATAATCTCTTATAGGTGACCATAATATTTATACTTATCCTTTTCCTCAGCTAGAAGCCCCCAAGTAAAGGCATTCACATGCAAGCAGTGTAAGTAACGACATTCACATGCGCATCAATTAAAAGAGTAGATAACTCCTTGTTAAATTCCGGAGATTTTGGTTTTTGCATATCATAGACCTTGTGAATGAACCATTTAGGGAATTTGGTTTTTCATCGCTTTCCCCGGTGTAATGATTTGAACTCACTATACTGAAGACAAAAAGATATAAATTTAGTAAAGGGAAGAACTTAAAAAGATAATGAATTAAAAGATAAAACACTTACACAGTATAGTGTCCGACTTCTTCACAACTAACAATCACAAACTATTCTAGTCGTTTTTTCTCCCTTAGATTGTGATTTTTCATGTTCCTTACAGTAGGCGGTCGACATTTAGACCGAAACATCAACAAATTTGTTTCTTCTATGACATCCTCGTTTCTTTTGGGGCAACCAAATCGAGTCTCAACATCTGTAAGGTACATCGAACAAAATGATAATACTTCTTCAACAACATATCCTCAATTATAGAACCATTTGGCCTCGACTTGTTTCTGAAATAGTTTTTTTAGTTATTTTCATATACATTTCGAATGAATAAATCCATCTCATATATATCGAGCCTCTACAAACAACTTCATTGGGTAAATGTGAAATTAAATGAACCATAATATCAAAAAAAACATAAGAGGATAGATCCATTTGAATTTGCACAATATTTTAGTAATGTCTGACTTCGCTTTCATATCTCCACCAATATTGTTCTCGAGCAAAGTTGCTTAAAAAACATATAAAGCTATACTATTAGTGTATATGTACATTTAGTCGATAGCCCTTTAACTCCGGTGGGTATCAAACATTGTATAATAATGTGATAGTCATAAAATTTCAGCATGATAATGTTACTATGGTTTTGATTCATTTTCTTATGGATGTTAGATCCAGACGCATCCGACAATTTAACATCTTTTATAAACTTAGAAAATTGATTGCAATCAGTTTTCATGAATGAGTAAGGTGGATGGTGTTTAAGGAACTTGTTACCCCTCTTTTTCAACCATGAACTTTTATGAATGTTTCGTTTTGTCAAGTCGGCTTGATCATTTGATGTATCTTTAGACTTATCATTCATCACAAGAATACCCAAAATACTGTCATTCACTCTCTCTCTCTCACACACATATATACATACATACATACATACATACATACATACATACATACACATATATATATATATATATATATATATATATATATATATATATATATATATGTTTCAATATGCATAACATCGAAGTTGTGCTTCAGCTCAAGAGAAGACCAATACTCAAGTTCAAAGAATATGCTTCATTTAGACCAATTAAACTTGAAATCTTCCACACTTAGCTGTCTTGGAGGGTCTCTTGTCTCGTGTTGGTCATTATAGTCCAAACATTTTCTTCATGGATGGTTAGCATCTAGGAACTGGTGATGAGCATGATATACGAGTTTATTTTGTTAGTCGGTATGATCAAGTGTCTTTATTATAAGTCGGAAATGCTTTGTACCCTTTTTAACTCCAACCGGAAAACTACTATGAGCTAGGAAGACGTTTATTGCCCATAACAACATCGCTTTCATGTTGAACAATGTACATGTCGCTATGTGTTTAGTACATAAGCCACAACTCCACAATTGCTTCAACTCACCCACCAACGACCTAAGGAATACATTCATATTCTTGTTGGGTTATTTGGGGTCAGGAATCAACAAGGTAAATATGAAGGATGAGTCTTTCATTCTATAAAAGTGAAAATGTTGTAGTTTGTGAGTCTTGGGAAAGTATCATAACACCTTATGAGCTACCTTCTTAACATTTTTATTTTCATCAACCCACTAACTTTCATAAGCCAAGTTGGACTTTTTAAGTGTCCTTTTTGCTTCATAATGTGATGGAGGGACCCTGTTGTAACACCTGTGTTTCTGGGCTTTCCATTTTTAGCAATATAATAGTCTAGGGTAACCTTTGTAACCCGTTTTGAAATAATATAAGTGTATTATTTGAGTATTATGTGTTTTGTGCTTAATTTCTTAATTATGTGGTTTGATTAATTATGAATAAAAATAAGAGCCAAAATTTAAGTGTAAAATAAACTTGATATCTTTAGATAACGTTGTAGTAGTTGAAACAAGGTTTCCGAAGATATAAAGAATGCCGAAATCCGAGTTATAACGAGGAAGTTATGACCTGTCGAAGTTTCGTGACAGAACCGGCAACGCTGAATGACGTAAAAAGTGAAATTTACGTTAGAGCGATAGTTAGCCTTAGTGATCTAAACGAGAATCTAAGATCTCGTTGTTAGTATCAAAGCGATAAAAAGTTAGGCAAGAACGGACGTCAAACGAAGAAGTTATGAATTTATAACGAAATTTTCTGTCCCGGCATATTAAAAATAAATAATAAAAATAAATTCAAAATTAGCCGACGGAGTGGAAACGAAAGTTGTAGAGCGTAGTCTCACCTTCGCGTGGATATAAAGAACGTCGAAAACGGAGTTCGTATGAGGAAGATATGAATTTTCGAAGTTTATTAAATAATTAATAATTAAAATTAATTATTAAACCTCGGTATTATCCGGAGGCGAGTCACTGGACTCATCCGGAGTACGCCCCGCGTACAGCGAAGAGTGTCGACACTTCGGATGACACATGCAGTGACGATTTCGGACGCCCGTATGCCCCGCGTACAGGCGTACGCCTCGCGTAATTGAGGCTCCCAGCCTTCTATAAATAGGATGCGAGGGCAGCCGGCTTCTTTGCTATTTTTCTTCATTCTCTCTCCCGTTTTGCATCGATTTGCACCAGAAATACCCCGAAGCCCCGATAATATTCCCGAGTCCCAAAGCAAGTTCCGAGATCCCGAAGATCCCAAGAAGTGCGGTTTCCGAGCCGAAGCTCTTCCCGCGAGAAGTTCGACTTTTGTAGAGATCTTCCAGATCTGCTGAGGATTACTACTTCTACGAGCCTTAGTGCTGTCCGATCATCTTCTGATCAAGTGAGTGTATAGTACCTTTCATAAACGCAATAATAATACAAGTATGGTTTGAGTGTATTAAGTATATTGTTGTTTATATGTGTGAGTGTGTTTTTACTTTCTCCTAATGTATAATTATGAAGTATTTTATACGAGATACGTGTTATGTGTATATTTTGTTGTTATGTGTGTGAATGTATATTCACTTTCTTCTATCTTACAGATCTGATTATTTCTATACGAAATACGTGCTATGTGTGTGCCTCATCTGTTATATGGAAAATGTATTGATCAAGCATGTTATACAGGTTTTGAAAATATGTATAAAAATGTATGTTTTTATCTACTAATATGTTGGGTAGAACATAGGTAGATAGTCGGTGTTTAATAAACAGATGAGAGGCCTCGTTGTTGTTTTGATCCAGTCATCTAGCGGAATTTAGATGACGACCACGGACTTTTCTAGTCAGTCCAGTGGAACGCTAGCAGACTCATAACCTGTATGTGTTAATGAACTTGGGTGTTCATTCGCTGTATTCCATCCCCCTCATGGTTTCCTTATTTGACTTATATTGCTGAGGAACCCCCGTAGCATGTGTTGTCACCCCGATGAAAATATTATTGGATTAGGTCCCCTGTGTTAGTTATTTTAGGGACATAAAGTGAGATTAACGGGAATGGGTAACTGGGTTATTGTTGGTTGATAATAATTAATTTAATTATTTATTGTGGGTTGAAAACCCTATATGCTCACCAGGCTCCCAAGCCTGACCCACTCAGTTTTA